CACTCCAGCCTGGGTAACAGCGCAAGACTCTGTCTAAAATAAATAAATAAATAAAATAAAACGTTAACAAAAACAAACAAAAAGAATGAGAGCTATTCAGTATAAATACTTCTCAAAGGGTTTCACCGACGGAAGCAGATAAATGGGATAGTATGTACAAGGCAGGTTTTTTAAGTTTTTCGTTAAGATACTAGACACATCAATAGGTATACGTACATACCTTGTAGCTCGCAGATTTAATTCCATCAGGAACCTCATCCTGAAAAAGACAAAATATGTTTTTAGATGGCATTTATTCTATCTTTTTAAAACATATCTTAAATTTCTATGATTTATGAGAAAAATCCATAAAACAAATTATCGAAGTTGGATTTTTTAACAGAATAGTTAGGTAGTATTTATATGATTTCTTAAAAGTAAATAAAAATTCAAGAACAAATTATTCTATGGATTGCTGAGCATACACTATGTATATTACAGCAAGGAAATGTAAAAATAGTCATTTAGCCATTATTCCTTTTGATGTTCAAATTGTCCCATATTTGGCCACTAGGAGATCCACTGAGTGCTAACTTGATATTCATACGTGTGTTCTTTTGATATTACTCCAGTGGTCCTTAGTAGAATTTTGTTTTGTTTTGTTTTCTGTGATGGCCAGATAGTCTGGGTTCTTGGAACCCAGGGGTTTGGGTCACAGAGACAGATCCCTCATGAACAGCATGGTGCCATCTATGAGGTAATGAATTAATCTATTAGCTCTATTATCTAGAAGTAGTAAGTTCTATTATCTAGAACTAATCTATTAGTTCACTTGATACCTGGCACCTCCCTGCTCTCTCTTGCTCTCTCTTGCCACGTGATATGACAGCTCCCTTTTTGCCTTCTGCCATGATTGTAAGCTTTAGGCCTCACCAGAAGCCAAGCAGATGCTGGCACCATGCTTCTTCCCACTGCAGAACTGGGAGCCAAATCTTTGGAAGATATTATCCATCTAAAAATATTCTTAGTTTGTAAATACAGATAATGTTAGCTTAGCAGAGAAGTGCCACGATTAGATCAGAGTTAGAATGCTAACTGGCAGTATTGTGGGGAGTGTGGAATAGAAGATGAGATGGGGAAGAGTCTGGTAAAGTAACATAAATGTGTTAGTCCATTTTGCATTGCTATGAGGGAACACCTGAGACTGGGTAACTTATAAAGAAAAGAGTGTAACTTATAAATAAAAAAAATAGTGAAACCTTGTCTCTACCAAAAGTACAAAAAATTAGTTGGGCATGGTGATGTGTGCCTGTAGTCCACCTGTAGTCCCAGGTATTTGGGAGGCTGAGGTGAAAGGATTGCTTAGGCCCAGGAGGCAGAGGGTACCGTGAGCCGAGATCACACCACTGCACTCCAGCCTGGGCAACAGAGCGAGACCCTGTCTCAAAAACAAGCAAAAAACACAAACAAACAAACAAAAAAGTATTGGCATGAAAGGCATTTTGCCTTTCAGTTCTTCCCAGCTCTGCAGAAGCTTAAAATAACCAGATCCTGACTCAATTTTTCAGTGCAAATTGGTAACTTTCACCTGATTCTTTTATAGCACTTCTATACATTCAAATCAAATAATAAATATATATTTAACATTTCTCAAATGCTAAAATTGGTTGTTTTCTCTAGGATTTACAATGAAATATATCTCATTCATCAATCTGTCAACTGATGGAATCAATAAGCTATTATTTTACGCTACAGTATCTTCAGCATTTCTGCTCCCTCCAATCTTCTTTTCCAAATGGCATCTCCTAGTTCTACACCTCATCAATAATAATCTGAAATAATTGCTATCTCAAGATGAGATTTGACTTTGCAATAACTGTAAAATATTTATATTTTCTAATATTAATAAAAAGTTCATTTAATGAAGAAGTATAATTAAATGTCTTTATTAAGCATCTACCATATTTCAGCATTTTTACTAATTCATATAACTAGGATACTGGTAAATTTCCCCAACTAATTTTTTCTATTACTAAATTATAAACGTAAAACTTAGAATACAAAATGTTTACATTGTTAATATCACTTTAATGATATGCTCATGCTTTAATAGTAAAGTATTTCATAAATTAATCCTTTAATTTTCAGTAAGTTGTGTCTATATGAGGATTAATGTAACAAAAAACATGCTTCTCATTCTCATGGTAAAATGCCCATAAATAGTATTTGACATTGGCCTTAATTCCACATGCTAGATAAGTCTGGATAACAATATTTACATATGTAAAATTAAACCACCCAAAACCACAATACCACTTCACACCCATTAGGATAACTATTATCCAAAAGAACAGAAAGTAAAAGTATTGTCAGTAATGTGAAGAAACTGAAACTCTTGTGCATTGCTGGTAGGAATGTAAAACGGTACAGCCACTGCTGAAGACAGCATGGCAGATCCTCAGAAAAAACAAATGGAACTAACACATGATCCAGCAATTCCACTTCTAAGTATATATCCCAAAAAACTAAAGTAGGGACTGAAATAAATATTTGTGCATAGCAGCATTATTCACAATAGCAAAAAGGTAGAAATAACCCAAAAGTCCATCAACAGGTGAATGTATAAACAAAACATAGTATAGGCATACAGTGGAATATTATTCAGCCTTAAAAAGGAATCGAAGCTGGGCATGGTGGCTCATACCTGTAATCCCAGCATTTTGGGAGGCCGAGGCGGGCAGATCACCTGAGGTCACCAGTTCAAGACCAGCCTGACCAATGTGGACCAACATGGAGAAACCCAGTCTCTACTAAAAATACAAAATTAGCTGGGCATGGTGGCGCATGCCTATAATCCCAGCTACTCGGGAGGCTAAGGCAGGAGAATCACTTGAACCTGGGAGGCGGAGGTTGCGGTGAGCTGAGATCGCACCACTGCACTCCAGCCTGGGCAACAAGAGCAAAAAAAAAAAAAGGAATCAAATTCTGATACATGCTACAAACATGTATCAGGCTAGAAACACTGTGCTAAGTGAAATAAACCATGCAAAAAAGGACAAATATTGTATGATTCCCCTAATGCGAAGTACTAGAATAGTCAAATTTGGAAAGAAAACCCAAATGGTGGTTGCCAGGGACTGGGAGGAGGGAGAAATTAAGACTTATTATTAGGAACAGTTTACAGTTTCAGTTTGGGAAGATGAAAAGTTCTAGACATAGATGGTGGCAATGGTTGCATAACAATGTGAACATACGTAATGCCACGGAACTGTACACATAAAAACTGTTAAAATGGTCAACTTTCGAGACCAACATGGCCAACATGGTGAAACTCTGTCTCTACTAAAAATACAAAAAATTAGCTGGAGGTGGTGGTGCACACCTGTAATCCCAGCTACTTGGGAGGCTAGGGCAGGAGAATTGCTTGAACCCAGGAGGCGGAGGTTGCAGTGACCTGAGATCGTGCCATTGCACTCCAGCCTGGGCGACAGGGTGAGACACCATCTCAAAAAAGAAAAGGTCGACTTTATTTTAAAAGTAAAATAAAAAGATGTACTTTTAAAGGGAATAAATTGTCATTCAAAAATATTTTTAAAATTCTATTTTCACAGTAGGATACTTCAAATGTTAAAGCTCTGAAAATTCCTAAGTAAAACCAGGTGTTTTGTCCACTCACACCCCAGGAAATCCAAGGCAAAAATACACCCGAAAAAAGGGGGGACAGAATTTTGTTTATACTTCCATTAATTTCATTTTATTATGCTACATACATAACTTGGTTCAGTAAAAGATGTAAGAGGAAAAACAAACATCAAGCCAAAAGAACTACTATCAATCTCCCTAATAAGTCAAAGGACTATATTAACCACAAAATGTTAATTCTATTATTATGAAGGCAGTGTAATTCAAAATAGGTTTTATAAGTTTGGGTTTTTAATG